CAACTCTTTTCCTTCACACCATGCAGACTAGCTGAGCCTCAGCGTGGGAGACTTCTGTTCTCCAGCTGGGAAAAGTTGGAAAAAGAAACAGCGTGTCGGTGGCATGCTGCGGAGGAGGAGCGCGCAGGCTGGCGGGAGCTCCTCTCCCTTTCCACAGAGGACCTGGGAGGAGCCCAGGTGGGGAGCAGGGAGGGGTGCTGATGGGCTCGGGATGTGCTGTGCATGGGTGGAGGAGATTCAGAGGGTTTCAGGACCCAACTGTTACATTGCTTTAGGTCTGCAGTGAGTGAAATGTTTGTTTTTCTTGTATTATTTCCTATGATCTCCAGAGTTTCCTTGGCTGAGGTTACCTGGCCATGTTGGGCGCTCAGCAAGCTGAGCTTTGAAAGTGGCTGCTACAGATGTGAAAGATGTTCCCTCTCAGTAACAGATCGTTTATTAAAATAGCCCATGGAGTGGCTGTGCTCTGGCAGGTCCTACCACACTCCCTAAGGCTTTCTGCCCACCGCCCTCCCCTAGACTTGCTTCTCTTCTCTCGCACTGTATGTCATTGGTTGCATTTACCTTTAAGAGGTTACAGTTTTCATGCTTTCTTGTGAACTCAGCAGTTTAGGTAAAAGATCTTCATAAAATACAAGCCATATTAAGGATACAGCCTCGAGCTCTGCTAAAATAGCAGTCCATATTCTTCTGAGCAGGGTCTGTGGATCCCTTCTGTCCTCCCAAGGTCTCATTCATCTCCTTTCAGGTCTGATACTGCTGTAACACAACTAACATTGGACTTGTCCACAGGAACCTTTAGTTTTTATTTCCTAGACACAATAAGGTGCATTAAGAAAGCTGTAAGGCAAGCTTTGCATCTCTTAAAGGAGATAATGGCTTTCCCTTACACCTGCTTGGTCAGAAGTAGCATGTATAGAATTTCTCTGTCCTTGAGATCTGTTCCTATAAACAACCGCTCTATTACCTTTGTAACACTCATGCTTGCGGTTTATGTCATTATATTTATTTCAAAACCTCAGATTTTGACATTTTATTCAGAGGAGGAAAAAACAATCTAGCTAGTTGCCGTGAAATTTAGTTTAGACTAAAATATGTGCTGTGACTCAGTCTGCTAAATGACCTTATGCGCTGCTCGTTGTAATCCAAAATTGCCAGGCAAGTAGAGTAATTAGTTGTGCAAAATGAAATAACTTTAAATCCTTGCATTGAGTAATGACCCAGAAAAATCACTTAAGCTATACAACAGAAAAGACTCGAAGCATCTGGCTTTATTTTTACTTTTGTAGCTCTGCCCCCTTTGATTGAGAAACAGGCTCTCCCCCTCATCCTGTTGGAAACCCTGGCTGTCGGTTGCTGCCCAGAACAAACGTTCGCAGCTTAATTGCTGCTACCCTAAGAAATCACAGCTCCTTACAGAACAGCAGGGTAAGTCTAACAGCACCAGTACGGCAGTGGTCCTGCAAGGACCGCATGTGTTTGATAAACCACCACCCCTGTCTGTTTAAAGAGATGCTTCGTATTATCTGAGATGAGCAGGAGTGATAAAAACCTTCGCCCTGATCAGCAAACCCAGCTGGGCAGCAGGACCAGGGGAGAACCCGCACGTGCTGCTGACGTGCTGCTGCCTCTGAATGCTGAGTGGCAAATTGCTTCGCTCTCCTTTGGCTCCGCCTAAATACACTGTTCCTAACACAATTTTTTGCAGCATTTATCAAAATTATCCAGAATAATAGGTGGACCCTCACAGCAGCCCTCCTCCCAGCCCCAGCAAATACGTCACCTCTACAGCAGAGCTGAGGCAAAGGCCCTCGATGAGCCAGGGCCGTGGGTGATGAAGCCCTCTGCCAGGCTTCCGCGTCCCGTGCTGGTGAATTGGGATCAGACCTTTAAAACATCAGGTACCGGCTATGGTGAAAAGTAAGATACTGCCCTTGTGGGAGTGCTGGTGTGAATTAAGGTGTGAAACTCGAGTATTTGTTGATGAGGTGGGTAGGCAAGTGTCAGATAAAGTTACAGGGACCTGCCAAGGAGATCAGATTTATCCTCCCCAACCTGACGGCATAAAAGGGGTCTCATAGCCATTGTGTTCCCATTGTGTTCTACTGGCCCTAACAAACAATCTGCCACCAACGGGAGGAGATGAAGTGTTTTTAATAAGAAAATGAGCCGTTTGCAATGCACTTTTAATTAGATCAATTTTTCCTTTATTACACAATCTTTAAAAACCAAACACATACATATCACCAGACAAGCTCTTTCTCCAGGTAGAGAGCAGAAGCCAAACTATTTCATCACAATCCTTAATTACTCCATTTCATCTCGTTTGGCAGACGATCACAACGCTGTGTGGGGGCACCACGGCAAGAGCTATAGCTCTGCAAAACCATCTCACAGTCACTGTCGAGTTTGTCAGGAGACACGTGTACCCAGGGCAAGGGACAGCAGGTTCTCTCTTTCTCTTTTCTGCCTGAAACCCAAGACTAGAAGAAGAGCTGCAGGTGACACACACCCCCAGGCGCCGATCGCAGTGTCCTGGCCCACCAGTGCATCGCCGGGTAGTGTTATTTTTCTCGAACCTCTGAGTGAGAAACAGATGACAGATGCTTTGTTTGAACTGTGTAACCAGGAACAGGCGGGGGTAACCAACTGCTCAGTTTACTGGACTGGTTTTTATGTCCCTTCAAGCACTCCAGGAAATGTTATTGCTAGTAGTGTGATGTTTATTGCAAAAAAAAATAATCCATTGGAACAGAAAATGACAGAGGTATGTATTATCGTAGATAATATTGCTTCCGTTAGTCAGGTCCATGGTAGCTTCCTGCTTGGAGCAGTTCTTAGAAACAGGAGAAAGGTTTACAAGAGATCAGTAGGAGAGGAACTGCTATTACCACAGTACTGGAAAAAATGCCTTGAGTTACACTGTAATTAACTGCAGAAGGGCCCAGTAATAGTCGTCTCCCAAAAACATACATGCAAGCTGAGGTCGGCTCCCCAGATTGCTGTTACACACCTCGGGCGACTGCCCGCTCCCACGCAAAAAAGAGAAGCAGGGAATGTAAATAATTACGTGCAAGTTGGTATAGCCTTGGCAAACACACGGAGGAGCTGAGGAGGGGAGGGCGGTTCAGTTCCCAGGGTCTCCCTCAGCACCATCTTCCATGCTCGCATCTTAGCTCCTTCTCCCTTCTCCGCAAGCTTTGTCCAGCAAATTGTAGCAAGAGAAATAGGAAGTTGCCCTGACGGGGGGCACCTCCACCACACAGCTGGGTGTTTGTTGTGCTGGCCCTCTTCAGTGCTTTGGCTGAGAGAACAGGGAAAGGAAAAAAAAAAACCAAAATCCCAGCAGAATCCGCTCTTCTGCAAACCCTGTAACTGGTAAACAACTGGCTGGAGCAGCAGCGGCTCAGAAGCCCATTTTACTTGGCTGTTTCACCAGGGGAAAGCATATGGGAGCTTAAAGAAAGTCACCTGTTGCATACATGTTGTAGCACAAGTAGCAAACAATTTGCTGTAGTGTGGCAGCCACCATAAAATCAGCTTTTATATTGTCTGTTGGGCCCTCAAATTTGCAACTACATTGTTGATAGCAACAAATAAATGCACCGCAGTGTAACTATTATCTGTGGCAGATTAACATGCTACCACTGTGCCCTATTTAAATGCATCTTTCCTTCAATAAACTATTCTAGGCAAGCAGCACCACACTGAGGTACACATTTATCAGCCAGGAGAGTAGCACTGGGGGGGGCTTGGTTCACACAGCTGCAGTTTTGTGCTTCATTTGGCCCAAAGCCGTGATGAACACGAACTCTGGTGCCTGCTGGTGCCATAAAAAAAAAAAAATAATCTGAGGAATGCAGTGTTTTGCTGTGCAAGGGAAAAAAAGCAATGCACCAACGGAGGTGCTTCCAAGTATTAAGAAAATAAAAGTAAAACAGTCGCCCCCCCCAATCCTCACCTCAGCAGCGAGTAGCTTGCACATACGAAGAGCAGCTGAGTGGAAATTTATTGCTAAATGCAATGGTCTGGAATGCAGAATAGCGAAGTGCAGGTCAACATACGATATGTTGCATTTAATTTCATTTACTACAGTCTCCCAGTCTCATTCCCCCAGCCCTTCCCCCCTCCCCATGAAGCTTTAGATACCAAACATACCTTCCAAAGACAGTTTCCAGGACACATTTAATAATAAAACAACAGTAAATATCAACCGTGCGTTCCCCTATTTTTTTTTCCTCCAGCCCCCTCCCTTTTTACCCCCTTCCACCTAGCAGAACTAGGCGGTAGTAATAACCCTGTTGCCATCAGAGGGCAGTTTTCTGGCTCAGCTCGGTCTCCCGTGATTGCACAGTACTCACTTCACATTGAACAGACACGGTTCACAAATGGCACGACAGGGGCGATCTCCTGAATACCAGAAAAAGAGAGAAAACCCTCCCTCGTCAGTTTGAAAGTAAAGCTCCATCTCCGCACAGTTAAAGAGGGCTATTTCGTTTTATGCAGCACTGCAATCAGAAATTGCTTTCTCTAGTAGTTGCCCAGACAACTGCTACCCAGTTCCTTGTGTGTACCACAGCGAGAGGAGGATTGCCTCTCTAGCCCTCTAAGGGAAGGTGATTTAGAGCAGTCAGTCAGCGTTATGGCACAAAGAAAGATAACAATGGTTGAAGCTGCAAGTGCAGGAGATGTGGCGAAAGGAGGTGAGAAGGTTTATGGAGTGACCGGTCATGTAGCAAGGAACCAATACTCCGAAAGGATGGCTCCTTTCCCTCACGCTGGTTTTTTATTGTACGGATTTCATACAAAAAAAGAAGAAAAAGCAGACCACCACCACGTAAGCTACTTTGTTTCTAACCACAAAACATGACGGCCTCTATGTCAAACCCCCTTTGGTTATGGCACAGTCTTCCTGAACGCTTGACGCCAGTTCCCATCCCATTGCAACGAGGCTGGGAGAACCTCTGCTGCCAAAAGAGGCTTTACCTGGAGACGTGCCTTTAAGGGGTGGAATATCTTCTCAGATGGTAACTGTAGATCTTAATGCAGTGATCCCAACAGTCCAGCACCAGCAGCTGCCCTTTGGGGGTAATGGCGATACCGACAGGACAGGTGAGCCCTTCCCGGATTAAGATGTTGTAGCCACCTCCTTTAGGAAAATGCAGGATTTCTTTACGGCTGCTGTCAGCAACAATGAGGTCTCCCCTGGCATCGACACACATCCCAGCAATGCACCTGAAATCCTCGTTCTCGGAGAAGAAGTGGCTAATCTGGCGTCCCAGCTGCCCATCGGGGCCGACGGAGCCGATGGAGAAGCCTCCTTCTAAATGGTGTTCGTACTGCCGGTTTTCCAGGTTAAGCCCCAGCCCTTGAGTGAAGTATATGGTCCCTTCGGCATCGCAGGTGACAAACTTGGGGCGCACTGCGCTACATAAGCAACTGTACTTTACTACCCCCACGCCACGGTCCACCGTGAAACACCAGAGCTTCCCTCCTTCCACGTCGGTCACTACAAACTGCCCAGAGGGCAGGGCGGCGATGCCCCAGGGCTTGCTGAGCTGGCTCCGGTGACACGCCACGCAGTGACCATCCATGGTGTAGACCTTGACGGAGTTATCGTAGCTGTCAGTCACGCCTATCAGGCCATGGCAGTTCATGGTAACAGAAAGGGGAGTCAAATTGGGCAAGTCCGCTCCGAGGAAACTCAATACGAAGCTATCGATTCCGCTCGGGCTCCGGCGAATCTCCTTCAGAAAGCCCTTGCGGGTAAAAACCTGGATTCGGAAATTGCCTCGGTCTGCCACAAGCACCTCGCCTTGCAGGGTGACGTGTAGGCTGACAGGGAGGTTAAACATCCCGGGCAGGCTGCCCTTGGAGCCCATCTTCTTGATGAAGTGACACTGCTGGATGCTCGCGGCTGCTTCAGGCATCCTTGGCTTGGCTGGTGAGGAATGGGGCGTGCAGCTGGCCTCCTCTTGCACCAGGTCAGGCTCCCTGAATGCCGCCAGTGAGGATGCCGCAGTTTCCATGAGCGAGTCCTCCACGTTAACAGTCCGGGGTTTCTTCACCACCTGCCCGATCTGCAGTGGTCCCACGTGGCTCACCTTAAGGAGTTCAACCTCTTGAAGAGTGAGCTCCCTCGGGAGACTGTTTGTTAGTTCTGGTTCTTCCTCATCTGCCGCCTCCTCCAAGAGAGCGATATCTCCCTGCTTTATTTTGGCAAGGAAATAGTCACAGCGAGACATTATCTGCACTTCTGCTAAGTTCAGCAGATAAGCTTGCTCCTCCATTACTTGGTTATTTACCTTCTCCACTTCCGACAAAGAAGTGGTGAAGAACTTGCGTGACCTGGCCAGTTCTTCCTGGATCTTGCGCTCTTCTTTGCTGTAATCTTGCAGAACTGCTTTGTACCTAGACTGCAGGTCTCTCGAAACACCCTCCAGAGATGCTTTTCTTTTCTGCAGATCATCCATGAGCTCCCGAAGTCTGGCAACCCTCGTCCCAAATTCCCTCCTACGCTCTGCAGCGGCGTCTTTGATAGCAATGACTCTATGCCCTTGGGGCGTGTGCGATGCCTCCTTGCACGGCTCACATAAAACCAAGCTGCAGCTCTTGCAAAAGTGTCTTGGCAACCTTCTCCCACAGACCTTGCACATGAGGAGACCCACCACTTCCCCCAGTCCGGTGGTGTCTATGATCTTCAGCACAGTAAGATTGTCAGTCAGCTGAGCTAAGCTGGTGATCCGCGTGATTTTGCTGCAAAAGGGGCACCGTATCCCGTTAATGCTGTTTGCCAGGAGTTTCTCCAAGCACTGTTTGCAGATGGTGTGCCCGCAGTGTAAGAGCTTGGGTCTCAGGTGCTCCTCGGTGAAGGACTCCATGCAAATGGGGCACTCCAGGACCTCTCGGAGTGCATCGGAGTTGAGATGAGGGGCGGCAGCCATGGCTTTCCAAGGCAACTTCAGCTGGTGCAAAGTCTTGTACTCGCATCTATTCCGAGGTGCTCCAATTCTGTCCAGAAAGAAAAAAGGAAATGTGATTTATGTCATCACCAGCCGTTACAGATACATGCAATTTATTTCTGATTTATCACTCAGCCCTGGAAAAAAAGAAGCCCAGTTAGCTTCTTCACGTTTGGAAAGGATGGATTAGTCATAGCTAATCTCAGAGTGGGCAAATTCCAAAACTAACTTGCAGCTCCTACTGCGATGAATTATTCAGTCGCAAAATTTGTAAGTAGAACTGAAAGAAGTGTAATGGCAGCAATAAGGAAGCCCAATAGATATTGATGACTGAATCATCTCCTCATGGTGCCCATCTCCCGCTGCCAAGCCTCCGAGTTTACATAATTTACTGAAACCCGGGAGATTAAACCAAGCATTCCAAATGTTGCGCATCAAAAGAGGAACCAGATGGTGCAGTGCTTTAGGACATTAATATATCACCTCTGGAGACCTGCATTCAGATGTGACATTAGATACGAACGAAATAAATGTGGCGGGTTTACTCTGCTTTTCTAGATAGCCAAAATAAATTTTCCAGGTTCCATACATTTACCAGAAAGCGAAACTAGAAGGGACGATTTGTCAGCTCCCACTCGTTCTGGGAATGACTGTACATACTGAAAACACAGAGCGAAGGTTTTAAGCCAGTGTATTTCATTAACCTCTGCCATGCTGCATCACGCTTCAGCATGCAAATTAAAGACAGCTCGGCACGGCAGTGTCCTAGCAGGTATTAGCAATAACGGAGTAAACAGACAACTCCAAACATTTATTAACAGAGACTGCGAGTGTTCGCTGTTAGTTCTGGAACTTAGCTTAATTGCATACAATTTCTCCTTATTTTACAGTCTTGCAGCGTTGGCCTCATTCTTGTGTTCTGGTTCAGTTTTATACCACTCTGGTTGCCGTTCGGCTTCAATCGAGGTTTCTCCATCCTCACATCCCTCACAGCAGGGAGCAGATCCCAGCAGCTCTCTTGCTAAGGCAGCCATCCGTTCAAGAGGAACAGAACAAGGTTCACATCATCAAGTTGTTATTCAGCAGACTGGGTTTCAATACGTTTGCTATTGCATTGCTTAGCCATTAGAAGAAATGGGGAAGAAAACATTTCTTCTGGGGGAGAGGAGGAGAAGGAAGTAGTTAGTCTTTCAAAGGAAGGAACGGTCACAGAGGGATGTGCCAGACAGCTTTTTCTGAACAATGGCTGCACGCACGCAGCACTCGCTTCCCTGCGGGGTTTGCCTGCCTCGTCCTCAGGAGCATTTCAGACGGAAAGGTTCGCTGTAGTTCAGTTTACTGTTTGCTCAAGTGGAAGAAAACTGCAATGAAGAAAAGTTCTTTATGTTCATACAGAGAATTAAAAAAAAGAAAAATCAGTTTATCAGCCACAGTTCACAGTCCTTTAAAACCAACATTTCAGGAAGGGAGTCAGTGGCGCAGCGGAATCTCCACGTACCAAGCTGGGATCTGATCCTTGGCTCGACAGTGGCACGAGGAGTGTCACATCCCTGGCAGCCGGGGAGCAGGGGCAGCCCCAGCGCTTGCTGCTGCCGGCACCGAATGCACATCCCCTTACTCTTAGCATGTGTCTCAGCTGGGGAAGCAGAAGCCTGGGCACTGCTGTGCAGATCAGAAACCTTCCTCTGAGGGATGAAAAAACCCGTATTTTAAAAGGGTTTTTAAAAATGAAACACAGGATACCAGATCCATTATTCTTATTCTGCTTGGAAATATGTCAAAAGACTTGGTTAGGGAAGGATGAGGGAGCAGCACAGACACCAGACACACCAGAGAGTTACATAAAAAGCCACCTTTAAAAACAAGTATTTTCATTAAAGAACAAGGGCGGAGGGGATTTTGCTTAGTTTTAAGTGAGGTTCGGTTTTTAGAAAGATGATTTGTACGACATTCTTTTCACAGCTAACCCCCTTTTCTGGGAATGCCAGCATGCGCCTTAGTAACGTGAAATTCTTTCTACCGCTGCACTTTTATCTTTGTCTCGCACTCGGCCGTGCCTCCTCGGAAGTTCCCTTAACAGCGAGTTGTTCTGGCCCATCAGTCCCTCCCAGGGCAGCTCCTCTGGCGCAGAGCAGGGTCTTGGAGAAAGCCTCAGCTGAGGGCCGAGCTGTAAAACTGTCAGTGGTGGGAGCTCGGTCTCCTGATGTTCAAACGTTTTCCTGCCGTAGTTCCC